ATTACATATATTTACTTATACATTTTTATTGGTCAATATTATTTAGGTTTTAGTAGAAAAATTCTTCCAATAAAAAACCTCACTGGAGCTACTAGAAGACTAGAAAAAATTAGTTTTCTAGTGGGGCTCCAGAGTTTTAGTAACAACACTAACCTAGACTACTAGGCTATGAGACCCCAACTCTCTACAATTTTTATTTAAATTTAATATAATCTATATCATAAATGTCTGGGTTTTGAGACCCTGCTATACTTATCTGTTAGACAAGATACTAAATAGCAAGTAACTGTTGTTTAAATAGAGAAGTAGTGGGCAATTGTTAGCTTGAATGGCTCTTATAAGGTATATAATATAAGTATGATTAGAACTAGAAAAGATTTGCAGGAGTGTATAAATATAAATTCATAAATACAAATATAATATACCAACTTCTAATAAAGTTTACTATACATTGGCAATTCGCATATAAAAAAAAATAATAATAACTTGTTAAAAAAATTAAATTATAAGCTTGTAGCCAAGATTGATAAACTTAGAAAGAAAAATGCAAAAATACCTGAACTTAAAAAAAGTATGCTAAAATTAAAGCTGAGAATATGCAGTTAAGGCTGATAATTTGAAGTTAACCCAAATTTTTTTAAAAAAAAACATAAAATTAGAATTTCCAATCTAGAACAGAAAGATAAAGTAAAATCCGTTACTAACGTTAAATAATTTTAATGTGCCGATATTATAATGATAGTTATCTGTAGATAAAAAGTATAGGACTTATAATCCGATCATGCCAAATCAATAACCGAATCGGCCAAAAAATCATTCGGCAAATTTTTATCAGGTGTTCCAAAAATTATGATAACGGCTGTGATAGTTCATCAGTAAAATTCCGAGTAATTCCAGCCTAATTTTTTGATCATTGCTCTTAGCCAATCAAAATCCGAGAATCTGCTGTGAAATTTGCGGTGAGTGACACGGCCAAAAAATTTGGTATGCCATTTAACAAATTTCATGTCAGGATGCCACCCTGGCATGCCAATGGCACGTTATCATATCAACCTATCTAATAACACCAGACAATTTACAAATCCAGAAATTTCTTGCTCGTATTTTATGTTCATTGACTATCTACGATCGTATTGATATATAATAACTTATCTATTATGTCTATTTTATTTTTAGGCATGCCTTACGTCAATTTTATTTTTAGACATACCTATGGCATGCCATGGCGGCTGCTGCGCCACTCACCATAAAGCTAATATTGTTAGTGGTGCGCCACAGTGGCTTCAATAAAGAAATCAAATTTATAACTTCGGTTACTAAAGATATCATAAATTCTAATATTACAAAAACATTTAATCTATTAAAAGTTATATTGTATTTGAGTGCAGCAGGTCGTTTGGACTTTCGAGCATATTATAATCTAATATACTTGAAAGTCCGAACGGCCTTTTTCCCTTTGCCGCACCCATTTATAAAATTGTATTTATACTCTTTTATTAATTTTCTTGTGCTAAGAAAATGAACCTTAATTCTTGTTCCACTTCAAATCATTTCTATTTGAAAAGAAAATTGATTTATTGTAGTAAGTAGAACAGTTAACGCTAAATCCAGAGGACTACATATTTTCCACAATCAAACCTGGAATGAATTAAATTAAACTACAGTATACTTGTGAGTTTGTAGGTTACTAAGAAACACTTCGTTATTTATTTTACATAAAGAAAAAAAATGGCATTACAACGATAACATTATTATCAACATGTCATTTTGATCTAATCCGGAGATTTAATTCCTATTCAGCCACTATCACTATGGCGCACCATTTTCCGGATGCAAACTGATGTCAGGTAAAATAAGACAAAATTAACTTTGAATTTCGGCCTTAATTTCAGCCGTCTCGGCCATGTCGACTATTTCATCCAAGTCTAATTTCTGGAACAGATACGCTGTTACCGTATTTCCATAATAGGACACATAACTATAATGTTAACTAACATTTAATTATTCTAAATACTGAAATACGCAGCAATTTCCTTGTACCACCCGTTCACGCGGACTGTTGATTGAACGCAAATGATCGGAAAAGAAATCCCTTGTACTGCGCAAGAGTAAAAAAAAATGAATATAATCACTTGCGTAGTTTTAATCACTCCATACAACAAACGAACAAAATTTACTACTTGAATATTTGCATATTTAAAAACTAATGGCGCCTTCGAACACTATTGATAAATTGGAAGCATCAGAATTGGACAATTCAACACGACAAATGATGTTATTACGTCTTCCACCAGAAATATTAGGAAAAATATTTCTTTTAACAACACTTCAAACACGTACAAAAATAATCGCAAGCGTTTGCAAATCACTAAATTATTTCATATTTAATCATGATATTTTATGGTCAAAACTAAATTTAAACACACTCGCAAATATCTCTGATGAAACAATTCCACCTATGTTTTATACCCACTTACCCGATGAAACAAAGATTTATATCAGAGAACTGTATTTAAATGATGTAAAGATTACAACTAAAGGTCTTAAGGTTGTATTAAATGCTTGTCCAAATTTGAAATCCTTACATTTAAGAACTTGTAAGGATCATTTGGAAATGAGCTCTGTTAAAAACGTAATCGAAGAAATGTTTGGCCCAGAAGAAGTATTAGACGAAGAAATATCAGACTTTCAATTGATAATTGAGGCTACTAGGTATCCTATAACTGATACTGATGACACTACGAGTGCAGAGATTCCCACTACGAATGCAGAGATTCCCACTCCAAAACTTCGACCTTCTCATCCATTGCAACTGCAAACTATTTATTGGTATTGTGATCATGATCTTTGGATTTGGTGGAAACCAAATGATAAAAATGATCTCGAAACTTTATTACAAAAGTTAACTAATAATCCAAAAGCATCGATTCAAGTTCCATGGTGCGATTTTTGTAATAAACAGAAGGCTAGTTCCCAAGTCACTTGTTACGGAAAATCTCATGGAAATGGTGATAATTATTGGTACTTTTACGGATGTTTTGAATGTACTGAGTATTGTGATCTTCAGGCGTTCAAATGTAATGATTGCGTAGAGTTTGATAAAGAGCTTGCCGAAAAGGAGGCTGTTGCTGTTGCTGCTGCTGCTGCTGCTACATCGGAAACAAATTCTGATACTGATGAGAATTGGGAGACTAATTCTGATGGTGAAACATTTTTGGAACTTAATGAACAACAACGACAACAAAATGACATTATAGTACAAATTCAAATAGTAGCTGCCGGGGATGCAAACGCTCCTGCAAATGTGGCTGTAAATGATACAACCGATGATGGGAATGGAAATGATGGTGATGAAACGGCTGTCATAAATGCCCAGATAAACAGTGGGGATGACGTATTGATACCAGCAGATGCTAATGATGATGGAAACGCATCGACACGTACTGAGGGTGACGATGATGAGAACGTGCTAATACATACTGAAGAGGACGATGGAGATAACCAATCTGTATCTACAACAGATCGTGATGAAATACACGAAGGGAATGATGGTGACATCTTGCTTGAAGGTTCTGTTGACGATATAGATTGATTATAAATCATGACATTTGCATTATCGTTCAAGCTTTTATAATAATGCTATGGCACATTCTTGAGTTATTTATACACGTAATAAAATAAAATGGTTTACCGAGAATCACGTGAATCGATACTTCGGTTCACTTTTTTGCCAATTTAGGTATGATGACATTGACAAAGTTGTCCATGGTAAAGAAATGCTATTAAATTATATTTATCAATATATGTAAATTTTGGTTTATTACAAAATAGTAAATAATAAACAAATAATCAAATATGCATTAATAGCTAAAATCAGTATAAAGATAAAACTAAGCGTCTTTGCTATTATCCCTTAAACGGTCAAATTTAACCGCTAAAAAGAATAAATTATATAAAGTTATATATATATATGTATCAGGGTTGGCATGACCGGTCAAATGGTCAAGCTTGACCAGACCAATTTGACCAGTCTGATTAAAGAGTTTATACTGGTCAAATTGGCATAGTAAACAGTAGAGAATCTAAAGTTTTTCAAAAAAAAACTTTTTTATTTATTAAGTAAACCTTTCTTTTCAACTTCTAAATAAAGTTGTAGAGAAGTGCCTTGTGATCAAAATGGTGGTTAAAACGTTAAAATCGGCCCGGTAGAACACGAGATATAAGCATTTTAGTCTTTGCGACTATATGTTTTCTTCTTTATTTATACAGTATAAAGAAGAAAACATATAGTCGCAAAGACTAAAATGCTTATATCTCGTGTTCTACCAGGCCGATTTTAACGTTTTAACCACTATTTTGATCACAAGATACTTCTCTACAACTTTATTTAGAAGTTGAAAAGAGGTTTACTTGAAATATTAATAATTTATATTTATTTATTAAAATTTTATATAATTAAAATCTTTAATTTGATTGGCTAGATTATTTGACCAATTTGACTAGACCATTTAACCAATTTGGCCAGACTAATGTTTCAAATTGTTAGTTGAAAAACCAACTAGTTGCCAAATTTTTAAACAACAACTTATCATTCAATTATTAATATAATTTCAAAATATTCTGCTTAGTTGGGCTAATTTGTAATAATTTCTTGAATTTGATTGGCTAATTATCTGATAATGTCATATGATATGAATAATCAATTAGTTGACAACTTAGTTGGCAACTAGTTAATTAGCAAAATTTTTACTAACTAGGAACACTAAACCAGACCAAATTGATCAATAAATTTTTAGTTAACTAGCAATTTGACTAATCCTGATATATATATATTAATATTTAAGATAAAACCTTGTTCTTATCTTTATTAAACTTAATAAAAACTTTTTATATAATTGGAGTTTTATACAAAATATAAATCATTAACTCTTCCCAACAATCATTTGGACTAAAAATTCTTATTAAAGAAAAATAGAATTTTTGTTGGAGAGTTGTAGCCTAATATAGCAGTTTGCCTAGAGGTCAACAGTTTACTCTTTTGGAACTCCTTTATAAGTTGTGCATTCAACATGCAAGTCAAAACATTAGTATACAAGATAACTGGCAGGAGGTGTGTGCTTTTGGATACAAAATTTTGGTAAAAAGATATTAGGCCATACAAATTTGATTACTTGGTTTTCATAACATGAAACTTTTAAATAGACCCGGCCGGCCGGCTTTTT